TTTACAAACGTGCGCCGGGGACGGTGACATCACTGCGACCAGCCACACCAGAACGGACATATCTCGCATCTAACTCAACCCCATGCAACAAATTTGATATCCAAGTGTTCATTATGGCCCGTTCTTCCTCGACGAAAAAGTACATAAGTGACAATTTAGTCAAAGACGAGAAAACTGCACAAGAAATTTGCCTTATTTACACGTATCGGCAATGCGAGCTGCCCAGCAACTTCCCTTTCTGACGTCACAAGGGGAATTTCTGTATGGCAATGAATAGCTAATGAGGAGCCTCGTTTTAAAATACAAAAAATAAAGTTGCTGTAGACTGAGTTTAAAACACATTTTTTCACTTAAAAAAAATAATTTATGCTTAGAAACATAAAAATTAATAATATTTATGTATCAATTGATAATTTTAGACGTGAAAATAGCAGCCATTTCACAGGCACTTTAAACAACCAGTGAGATTTTAATGAATCTCGACACACAGATCTGATTAAATTTGGTTGGAATCCGTTCATACATAATTTACAAAATAAATTCATCAATTTTCAGTTTTTCCACTGACATCTCATGAACTAATCATAACATTTTATTTGAAATTGGTAGAATATATTCTTTGACAATTTTTCAGGTGTTCTTTAGTATCATCCATCAAATTAAAATGCAACATGGTAAATATACAATAATTCACATACCTGATTAATTTAGGGTTGTAATCCATACATACTAATAACATTATTTGCATAAATTGGGTCACGTGAACTCACTCTCCCTTGCAGCGTCTTCTTGACCTAAGGAGCCACAGAGAGCCGCAACTCACGTTCCCTGGCGACTACCTAGCTTAGTGATAAAAGACCCATAGTCTCTGCGACGGTGTATGACATGAACTAACATGCAGCCGGTGCTTTAATAAAAGCATTGCATAAGAGACATTACTAATAACTAATCACGTGCCCATATATGGTCATGTGACCTCATTGTTATGCATAACTGTAATACTGTTGCAGGTAGGACAAAACAGTTAGTGAAATAATAAAAGCATCGAACAAGATATGTGATGTGATCTCATTAATATGCATAACTGTAATACCTCAAGTACTGTAACACGGGTCCTTGGAACCATTGGAGAGATGTGGCTAACATATCATGACCTTATATTGCCAGGTGACCTAATTAGCATGCATAAGTAATATTTTCAGCAATGCTGTGAGAATGTGGCATGCAATATGATTATGATTTTGAATCTGATCTGAAAAATGAAGTGCATCAGGGATCCATAATGTCTAATGTACATATCAAGTTTGAACTTAATCCATCCCTAGAAGACCGAAATCTGGTTCTGGAATGCCAGAAATGCCTTATTTTTTGATGAATTTTTAGCACAAAAATGGCCAACAATTTGGCTTTTTTAAATCAGATCGTCAAACCAATACATCTGCATATCTATGACATGATGTATAATAAATATACAAAATTTGAACACAATCACTCAAAGCATGTCAGAGATATGGCACTAGAACTGCATTCACTGAAACAAAATGGCCACCAGTCGGTCATTTTGAATCCAATCTGAAAAACAAAATGTTGTGCATAAAGATCTTATAATGTCCAATGTATGTACCAAGTTTGAACAAAATTGATCTGTAAACAGCCGAGATCCAGTTCAAAATGCTTGATTTTGATGATTTGGCCATATTGAATCAGATTGTGAAACAAATTGATGTGCATATGTATAATATTATGTATGATGTATGTGTGAAGTTTGATTGTGCTTGGTCCAGACATTTCTAAGATACAGGTCGGCATGCATAGGGTCACACACAAGTCAATCCATAAAAATGTGCACCATCTCATGGAGCCAATCTCTTGATGGTGAACAAATATAAAACCCAGGATGCAATTAACCTATGCTACTGATGATCACCTCTGCATTATCAATTAAAAACAAGAAGATTTTGATTTTATGCATGGATACTATTTTTATTTTATCTAATATTTAATCTCATATACCAGCTAACATGTATGTAAATAAGAACAAAAAAGTTGCTTTATGTAAATGATTTTAGAAATTAATACTTTTTTAGGGAGAGGATCTACTTTGTTTTGATCTCACATACTTCAATCTAAAAATGTTACAGGTATTAAAGCGGGGGGAGTCGTCACCTGCGCCAGATGGCTATAGCATGTCATTGTTTACAAACAAGCATCTACCCACGAACCTTTTCGTTTTAGCGTGTGCTGTTATCATCACTTGTGACTCAATTCCCGCACATGTGTAGGTGACGACCATCCCGCTTTAATATATTGAAATAGCAACACAAAAAACACAAGAAAACTATATACATAGAATAAGTGAAATATTTCACTTGCTTAGGGGGCCTTTAACACCATCATTCACCACCATAGTAAAAATGTGTCCCATTTCACCATTTCACAAAGTACCAGTTCATACCAAACACAATGTCAAATACAGTCTGTTCGGCCCAAAGTGGAAAAACAATAGCAGGAAAACAAAATCGTATCAATTTGGCAAGTAAAATACACAAAATATAGTACATGTAATAGTGTTTTTTATAGTGTTTGAAATTGAAAATGTGACAGATTTCACTTAATTTGCTACAATCTTACATTCCCACTTTGCAAATGTATGAAACATCGCATAAAAATGATGATGAAGTAAATATCTCACTCTGACATTTCCACAACACTAATTTTGAAAGTAATGGAGGGTTTTATTCTGTTAATAAACATACCTACAATGAAATTCACCTCCGAGGACAAACAAAGCCTTCTAACTCACTGTATATTGACCTGCTAAAATCTATATTCTGCAATGAATTTCTCTATTTACCATCTCTACGTTTTATGGCGTGTATCTCAAAAGATCGTGCCTCACAGATTTGAAAAGTGGGAATGCAATACAGGGATGACTTAAATCAAGTATCAGACCACATGTACATTACATCTGACTGAATACATTGAGAACACGTATGCTAAATTGGTGTTGATATCACCCCCCCCCAAATGGAGATTGTTGTAATTATGCACATTAATCAGTACAGTACACAACTA